ATGACAAAAAAACAAAAAACAAAAAACAAAACAAACAAACAAAAAAATACTATAAGAAGACCTGGAAGTTGGGAAGGACAAGAAGAATGTCATAAAAAAAGCAAAGCACAATTGGGAGTTTGAAGGAAGTGGTGATTAGCTTGCATTAGGTGTGATCAGGAAAGTTTTCAGGGAGGAGATAACCTCTTTCCACTCTTCCATCAGAGAGCCAAGGCTGACTTATTCCTAGTGAGCAGCCATTACTTGTTTCATTTTTCAGGTTTGGTCTGTCATCATGAAGATCTGCTCAGATTTCTCTGAGTTAATCTTCTGACTCCCGTAGTGGGTGAGAAATGGTGGACAGCAGGTCTCCACAGAGTGACTCCCCTAGTCATCTTCAAGTGATGAAGAGGAGCTCTGGTGGCTCTTTGAAGAAGGTTCTGGGCATGGGATCTGGTTAGAAATCTCCAGTAACCGTGTCAGCTACTGAGACCAAATGTTTGAGCTTGGGTGGTTTCTGAGCTTTAGTTTCCTATCTATAAATAGGAATAATTAATAATAATAATAATAATAATATATCTGTCACCTTGTTCACAGGTTGGTTGTTAAATTCAAATAAAATAAGTGAAAGTATTTCATAGGGCCAGTATTAGGTATCAGTTAAGAAGAAAGACTCTAGAGCTAAATTGCTTGGATTTAAGTCCCAGCCCTTCTTTGCACTTCTGTGTGACCTTCAACAAGTCACTTAACCTCTCTGTGCTTTGGTTTCATCTACAAAATAGGGATGACACTAAAACTTATATTATAGGGTTGTTGATGATTATAACAAGTTAAGTGTAAAGGACTCAGAATAGCACCCAGACATAGTTTATACTATACTAATAAATTGACTGTCTTATTTTTATAAAGTACCAAAGAGAATAATTATGATTATGATCATTACTTCTTAGACACAGAGGCAAAGTAAGAATTCTGCTCTATCTGTATGGACAGGAGCCAATATGAAGCATTGAGTTCTGCCCTGAATACCAAGTCCAGGCTTTAAAAAAGAGCCATAGGGGTGCCTGGGTGGCTCAGTGGGTTAAAGCCTCTGCCTTCGGCTCAGGTCATGATCCCAGGGTCCTGGGATTGAGCGCCGCGTCGGGCTCTCTGCTCAACAGGGAGCCTGCTTCTCTGCCTACCTCTCTGCCTACTTGTGATCTCTCGCTCTGTCAAATAAATAAATTTAAAAAAATAAAAATAAAAAAGAGCCATAAAGATGCCAACGAAGGTCTGGAGTGAGGGAGCACACTTGGCCATCCTGGAAAAATATTATCTCCACCCTGCCAATATTTCTCTCTCTGGCTTGGGTCTGGTCAAAGGTCCACACTAGGTATGATTCTATTCCACAGGAGCTTTATCATCAATGTCCCTGGCTGAAAGAGATGTGTTAGAAGGGTCAGCTATGGATGCTGTCTATTGTCATAGAACGTAGAATCAGCTTGAAGAGGGCAGGACAGGATGAACACTACTCACCTTTGAAAGAAAGAGTGAAGTCATATTCTAGATCAGAAAGTAAGATTGCAGAACTTTGAGGTGGAATGAGATTCTTTCTTCTTCTTACTCGCTCCCTGATATATTATACCAGCTGGCCTTATATCAGCCTGAACTGTTTCAGAGATTTAGAGAGCTCAATAGGCCATTGTCACATGGTCTCTTCTGACCCTCACAAACATCCTATGTGGCAGGTGCTGTTACCCATGTCCTCAGATGAGAAAACTGAGGCCCACAGGGTTTCAGTGACTTTCTAGAGGCCTGGTGACTGGTTTGGTCACCAAAGGAACCAGTATTTTGACTGGGGTAGTTCATCTTCTAGTCTAGAGTTCTTTCAGCTACAAAAATACCAATTCATCATCTGCTCAAAGCAGGCAGAGCAAATCCGCATTCTCAGATTAAGGCAATGCATTGATAGACTGTGCTCCCGCCCAGCAGAAGGAGGAACACCAAGTCCCAGAGCTTGGGTCGGGCTCAGAGGATGGCTCATATGTGGATTCTTCATCTCATTTACTCTATTTTCCACCAAAGAAACTATTCCGATAATACAAATATTAGCATGGACCAGACCTTAGATCTGGTCTTACAGATTAGGACTTTTTTCTGGTTCTTGATTTATCCCCAGGGGAGGATAGGTGCTTTCAAAGATTGTGTTGTGAGCTCTGAGTCAGAAAAACTGGTTCGATATATATAATGTCTGTTCACTCTCGCTCAGGTAGAATGAACTTGCTTATGTTTAGGATCGTTGTGTCTTAGCCTGAGAAATTCTGGGTACATTCAGACAGGGGAGACAGTGCAATGTCACAATGATGGTTGAAGAGTCAATTTGTGGGCTTAACAATGCTAAAGGTTAAATGGTTACATACAGACCACTGAAGTCCTGTATAGTCAAAAACTGGGTGAAACACAGAAACAGAACACAATTATATTTTTACGTGATTTTTAGCAATCTCCCCTCTCCCCAATCTTGACCTCGTTATGGCAGCCATACCACTAAATAGGCAAGTTTGGTTCTGGCAGGTCTGCTTCTTTTAAAGGCTGTGCTGCCATCTCCTGGAAGCATTTAGAAATAGCAAGAAACTCCTTGTTAGAATTTAAGGAAGGGGTCCTTTCAAGGCGGTAATCCGAGGTGGTGCTTCCGGAAATTATGTGGTGTGGTTGCGCCAGTCTCAACCTGCCTAGTCCCGCTCCGGTCTATTTTCTGATTCTCCTGTTGCTTTCCTGATTGTTCCAGCAGGACGTCTACCCCTGCCTGCTTCTGAGAACAGGGCTTTTATTTGCAGTGCAATAATAATCAAATCTGAGTCAGAGCTGATAAAATATGTTGGTAACTTGATTCTCAGACTGAAGCACACTTTCCAGGGATCTCTGTTTTCATCTGGAGTTTTCTGTGTGGGAATGAATACTGGCAGGCAAGGAAGAGAGATGTAGGGTGGAGCTTCTCACAAGCAACCCTGGAGATATGTTGGTCCTAAGGGCAGTGCTCCAAAATGAGTAGCGATCCTGCTGACAGAGGTCAGCAGTCCTGAGCAGAAGGTCCACATTTCTCTTTGCTCTTCCGGCAACCCTGGATTTCCTGTTAGAAAACAAAGTTAAATGTAGAGACCAACTCTACCTCTCTCCACTGCTGTCACTCCCAATCTCTCCTCTTTATTTCTCCTCAGCATTTATTATCATCTGACATACTATTGTTTGTATTTCACTTGCTTTTTAAAAATTTTGTTTTCTTGGGGCTCAGTGAGTTAAGTCTCTGCCTTCAGCTCAGGTCATGATCTCAGGGTCCTGGGACCACGCCCTGCATCAGGCTCTCTGCTCAGCACGGAGCCTGCTCCTTCCTCTTTCTGCCTGCCTCTTTGCCTACTTGTGATTTCTGTCAAATAAATAAATAAAATCTTAAAAAAAAGGAAATTAAAAAATTTTTGTTTTCTTTCACTATGACACAAACTCCACAAAAGCAGATATTTTTGTCTCTTTTTGTTCACTGTGGGATCTGCAGTACTTAGAATAGGGCCTAGCACTGAGTAGGTGTTCAAAAAGTATTTACAAAGGGGTACCTGGGTGGCTCACTGGGGACCTTCAGCTCAGGTCATGATCTCAGGGTCCTGCGATGGAGTCCTGCATCGGGCCTTCTGCTCAGCAGGGAGCCTGCTTCCCTCTCTCTCTGCCTACTTGTGATCTCTCTCTGTCAAATAAATAAACAAAATCTTAAAAAAAAAAGTATTTACAGAATAAGTGAAGTCCTGACTTCATTACCTTATATGGTTACAGGGTCCATACTTCTCCTTCTTCAGAGTTTGATGGATATCATGTTTCTGCCTCAGCTTTCCATGAGGACTTTCTGCAGAGAGCTGAAAGCCCAGCAGATGGGTGTGTCTCTATCTAGTGACAAGGGAAGAGGATGTGTGGTATTAACCACCATTTACCCTGTGCCAGGCCTTTCTAATCACCAGGGGAGAAAACAATTCTAGAGAAGCTTTGTGAGGAGTTCAAAAGGTAGGGAACTGAGAAGAAGCTAAAGCTGAGAGAACCTAGTATAAATTCAGCAGCGTCTGGGTGAAGCACATAATATAACACTAAATGTAATTTATGTATCTGTGTAAATTTATCTAATAATAATTATTGTAGCTCTAATTTATTGAATACCTGTTCTGTTCTAGCACTTTATTATACATTGCATTACACACTGTGTGGGTTTGTTTTCACAATATCTCTATTTTACGAAGCAACGAGGCTCAATGAGCTTATGTATTTATACGAAGCAAGAAGGCTCAATGAGCTTATGTAACTTGCTTGGGCAATGATTTATACATTCTCTGAATAGAAAGCATAGACTCAGCCCTGTTCTGCAGAACAGAATAGTGGTTAAATACACGGCTTTGAGCAAAAATAGCCTTGTTGACTTAGTTTTTGCCACCTCTTGTTGTGGGACCTTCAGCAAATTGCTTAAATAAACTCCAATGTCCTCGCCTGCTAAATGGTGGTAACAGTTGTTCTTATCTCCCAGGGTTGAGGGAAGGATTAAATGAGATAGCACAAAGAGCGCTTAGCATAGAGCTAGGCCCTGTAAAGCTCTGCATAAATGTGACTATGCCTGGGAAAGCGGAATATAGAAGGAAAAGTCTCCAGCTCTAAAGTTTCCTTTCAGTGCTTTTCCTGCTTTTTAGAAGCCTGCTCATAACTTCACCTCCGTTACTGAAATTTCCTCTGTCCGGCCTTTGCTGGAACTGGTTCGTGAGGGGACCTCCCCATCTCACAACACAGCCTCTGATTTGTCATTTCCAAAAGCTTTGGTGCCAAGTTTGTTTTCTCCGGGTACAGTGACAGTTTCTGTGGCGTGGTATGCTGGGGGTTGTAGTCCGAAATTCCTCCATCTACCTCAGGAAGGCGACTGAGCCAAGAGCCAGAGAACTACAACTTCCAGAGTCCTCCGCGCCATCGGGACGCCATGAGTCTGCAGGGGGCTGCGAGAGCCGGAAGCGTGTAGGTTACCTTGTCCCGCGCCTGCAGTGAGCGGCTAGATTCATGAAAAAGAACCTGGAACGGCCCTCCCCGGGGCTAAGTTGGGTACCAGTACATGTCGTGGGGCCAGAGAAGCTAGAGGCAGGTATTCCAGGGATGTAGCTGTTCTGCAAATCTGAGGTGTGAACTGGTTCCCTGTGTTCAGTGTCTTGAGCTGGAGCATCTGCCCGGCTAACTCAGCCTTTGCCTTAGACATGGCTACTAACTTTTCCTTCCCCAGGACTCGGCTTCGGGAAGGGCTGTGGGCAAGCGTATGAGGACTGTCCCTCTTCTCCCAGGCCGACGCGGGATATCCCGGAGACCCCGGAGAGGCTGCCACTCTGATGTCTGGAGAAACAGGCCCTAAGCCCAGGCTGGCTATGAAGAGTGACTCCTCGACCCCTGCAGCCCCCCTTAGGGGGCTCGGGGCGCCTCTGAGGAGCAGCGAGCCTGTACGCGTCGCCCCGACTCCGTCGGCAGCCGTGGTTCTGCTGGAGGAGGCTGCAGACCTCTTGGTGGTGCACCTGGACTTCCGGGCGGCACTGCAAACCTGCGAACGCGCCTGGCAGAGCTTGGCCAAAGATGATGCGGGCACGTACGTGCTGGGCTCCGTTCATTTCCGGGTGATCTTGGGGACGGACTCAAGATTTGGGGAGTTCTGTTATTCCCAGATTGCTCACAAGGAGCCCTCTCTGATAAGCTGGTGTGCCCATTCTACAGAGGAGGAAGCTGAGGCACTGCCAATGAGGAGGAAGCTGTCAAGTCGGGTAACAGCTTAGTGAGAACTCATAGCCAATTCTTTTCTCCCTATTCCAGTGTAGAGTGGCATGATGGGAAGATAGAATGTGTATTAAGTGTTAAATTATTATGGTAAGCAGGTTCAGTAAGCAGGTGGTGGAAGTCCTCTCCTAGGTACAGTCTTCTCCCCCAGGTTGTTCACTTCTGACCTTGCTTGATGAATGGAAGTGGAGTTAAGAGCAGGAGTAGAGTTCTGGGACTGTTGAAGGACTGGATTAAAGTATCAATCTGATGAAAACCTTGGTCCTGCATTGCTCTTTTTAATGCTGTTAGCCTCTTCGGGAAGTTGAGGGAATCATTTCTCTGTGGATAGTAATGTTGATTTTGGCTACACTAGGGTAGCCTAGTGGTGGGTAGAATAGTCAAAGCTGACCCCAGAGAAGGATGAACTGGGGAGCCCTGGCTGTGTTTTAGGGGGTTGAGTAGGGCTTGTGGCAGTAAATGCTGGAGGCTGTGATTTGGGGTTCCTGGAGGTACCTCACTTGGTGGTGCTAACAGGCCAGTTGTGAAGTTCTTATACATACACTCAGGCAGAACCCTTGCTCTATCCCCACTTCTTCACTGAAGCAAACTCTTAGCTCCAGCTCTTTCCACCCACACACCTGTGCTGCATTTCACCTGGGTACAAAGATGGGTGATAGGCAGGAGTTGTCTCCAGATTTATAGGAACTTTGAACTCCTGGGGGAAAGGGCAGTTTTCTCTCTGTTGGGGCTAGTGAGACCAGTTGTAATTTGAGCTCCACTTAAATACTAATGGGGAGGATAGAGGTGATGGCTACTGAGTTGGGAACTGTGTGGGGGGAATGGTCCCAGGGTGGTGGTGGGAATGGAAACAGGGGAACCATCCATCTATCTATCTATCTTTCTTTCTTTCCTTTCCTTTCCTTTCCTTTCCTTTCCTTTCCTTTCCTTTCCTTTCCTTTCTTTCTTTCTTTCTGAGAGTGTGTGAGAGCAGGGGGAGGGGCAGAGGGAGAGGAAAAAGTCTCCAGCAGAGTCTACACTGAGCCGAAGCACGGAGCCTGGTGCAGGGCTTGATCCCACAACCCCGAGATCATGACCTGAGCAGAAACCAAAAGTCACCCGTTAACTGACTGAGCCACCCAGGCACCCCTGGAGGGGAACCACTTCTAAACCTGAATTGGTTTTTCTGCTGACAGTTCCTTGGAGGTGAAATGCTCCCTGTGTGTTGTGGGGATCCAGGCCCTGGCAGAAATGAATCGGTGGCAGGAAGTCCTGTCCTGGGTTCTTCAGTATTACCAGGTCCCTGAAAAGCTACCTCCCAAAGTCCTGGAACTATGGTACGTCCTTCTTCTGACTCACTGGGTCAGTTCAGAAACAAGAGGATTTTCATATCCTTTTTTGAATCAGTGCCCAGTATCTTCTCTTTACCCCTTCCTTACCCTTTCCCTCTATATCTAAATCTTTCCCTGTTTTTTTAAATTTTTATTTATTTATTTATTTTTACCTCAAAACCTAGCTATAAAGGATGAGGAAGAGAGAATTTAGGAGTCGGGTAGAGGAAAAGAGGAGGAGGGGGACAGTGGGAATAGGAGATGTGAAGTGGGATGATAGATGTGGGGTCCTAGCTGACAGAGCTTCTTGCTACTTCCTAAGAATTCCTAATTCTTATTCTTATCAATTCTTATCAATATCAGTATCCCATAGGGAAGGCCTGGAGGACACAGGGGAAGGGTTGGGTGGGAGAGGGTGGTAGTAATGAGAGGTAAACCGACCATGGAGCACTGACTGTTCCTTTTTTGAAATTGGATTATTTGGGTTTGCAGTGTTCTTTTATACAGCAAAATGCAAGAGCCTGGTGCTGTGCTGGAAGTGGTCAGTGCCTGGCTGCAAGACCTTGACAACCAGGGCCTTCCAGAATACAGAGCCTTGGCAGAACTTCACCTGCACCAAGTGCTGCTGCCTCTGGGCTGCTTGTCGGAGGCTGAGGAGCTAGTGGTGGGTTCTGCAGCCTTCAATGAGGAAGAGCGGTTGGACTTACTCCAGGCCATTAGTAAGGCAAGGCAACAGCAGAAACACCAACACTTGGGCACTGAGGACGCCCAGAAGCTAAACCAGGAAGGTAGGACATTATTCTTTGGTGGCCTCTGTAAAGTGGAGTTGTGGGCTCTCCCTTATACTTTGGGGTTATCATGACATTCCTGGGAGCTTGGGAGCAATTATTTGTATGAGTAACTCCAAAATCCCAGAATAGGAAACCTGTTGATTGGATTAAAAAGTGAAGCCCTGGGGCGCCTGGGTTGCTCCGTGGGTTAAGCCGCTGCCTTCGGCTCAGGTCATGATCTCAGGGTCCTGGGATCGAGTCCCGTGTCGGGCTCTCTGCTCAGCAGGGAGCCTGCTTCCCTCTCTCCCTCTCTCTCTGCCTGCCTCTCTGTCTACTTGTGATCTCTCTCTGTCAAATAAATAAATAAAATCTTAAAAAAAAAAAAAAAGTGAAGCCCTGACCCTCTGTAGTTGGCGGTGGAAGGAAAATCTCTGGGAGGTGTGGCTGAATCTCAGAACCATAACTCTGGCCTCTTTGAAAGCCAACTTCTCCTTCGGGTCCTGTCACTAGATCTCTTGTCTCTATCATGCTGGTCTGAGTGGGATGTTATTCCTTCTTTAAAAGCTGGCCCAAACACAGCTGAGGTATGCGGGATAGCCAAAGAAAAATAAGAAGCTGACACAGTAACTTGGTACCTTGACTTAGATAAAAATTACTTATCTTCAGCTTGGGCCCCACCACCCAGCCTCCTGTCTGCCTTTACTTCCTAGATCTCCTGGGTATGTTCTTCAGTGATTGATGTTGCCCTTTAAGGGGCAGCCTATCTCTGCCCATTGGAATGCAGTTTCACACAATGGCTTTTTAGGGAAACCATTTTAAACCCAACATCATACTCCTGACTATTATCCTACATGGGATGCCTACCTAGGGGTGGGTGTGGGGGTTATTTTGTTATAAAGGATTTTAAAAGTCCTCTACTTCAGACCCTTCCTCTGGTCTTTAAATCCTTTCCATCCTCTTTTCCTCAAGTGATCACATAGTCTATGCAAGGATAGAAAATTTACTATCTCCAGAAGCAGCTCATTCCATGTATGGACAGTTCTGTAGAGAAGTTTTTCCTGAAATTTAAGTTTTTTTCTTGGTAGTTTTTAGCCACTGTTCTTTGATTTTTCTCTTGGTATGTACAGAATAGGCCTGATCTTTTTTTTTTTTTTTTTTTTTTTAATTTTTGTGAGAGAGAGAAAGAGTGAGTGAGCACAAGCAGGGAGAGCAGCAGGCAGAGGGAGAACCAGGCTCCCTGCTGAGCTGGGAGCCCGATGTGGGACTCAGTCCCAGGACCCTGGGATCATGACCTGAGCCAAGGGCAGCCACTTAACCAACTGAGCCACCCAGGCGTCCCCTGATCCTTTTTTTTTTTTTTTTTTTAATGAAAGTTCTTTAACTATAATCCTGTTCTCCAAAGTGTCTTTTCTTTGTGTGCTACAGAGCATGAACCTGCTGATGTAGAATCCTTTCTTTGAAAACAGGTTATTGGCTTCAGGAATTTCCTGTGGCTACCAAAGCCCTCTGCCCCTCCATCTCCTAGGGAGGAAAGGATGGGGAAAGGGTTTGACGGCAAGTTCAGAGTGTTCTGTCAGGACTTGGCACCACTTGTACTTGAGTTGGTGGTGGTCATATTTACAATCTGAGTTTTGAATTCTTCACTGTATATATTAAGTGCCTCTCTGTTCCCTTCATTAATGTGATAATCAAGAACTACTGCTCTTTGTAACTCTCTGTACATATCTTAGGCCAAAATATAAAGAATGCTATAAAATAATATTTAAAAAATACACCAGATATGCCAGGTTTACCCGGCTGAGTAGATGCTGTCTATTAAAAGTCTCTCCTAAGGAGATGACATTCTAGTGATGTAGTCTGTCCTTAAAACATTTTTGGAGCTTTTGGAATCTTTTTTATAACCACTTAATGAACTACAGGAGTGAACTAGTCTTGTTACCTTTTGTCAGCTCTCATAATCTTGCTCAAAGCTCAGAGTCAGGGAAGCTGTTTCTCGTGGAGTTACCTGCAGGTATGCTCTATCTCCCTGATCAGGCTCCTTCTCCCACAAGTTCCTGTCACTAATGATGTTGCTTCGCCGGCTTTGGGATTCTACAGTGAGCCACTTCTTCTCTATGCCCTTCAAAAAGAGCCTCTTGGCTGCCTTGATCCTCTGCCTCTTGGTGGTAAGGTTTGATCCAGGTGAGTAATGAAGCCCGTCTTCTTTCCTGCCCTTCCTGGGGAAGGGGCTGTTGAACAGGGGCTGGGCCTGTGGGAGCCTCCTGGGGATGGAGGCATCTCCTGTGCCACTTCTCCCTGAGTCTCTTCCATAAGGAGGGACTGTTGGACCCCAGCAAGAACCAGCTCAGCCCGCCTGGGAAAGAATAGCCCTGGAGTCCATGGGAGCAGTCTGGAGGAAATTCACTCTATTCAGTTGACCCTTGAACACTGACTTTGAGTCATTGTCATTCACTTTATCCGGGGGTGAACTCTGACTAGAATGTGAAAATTTAAAAAAAAATTTTTTTCCTCATCATAATACCTAAAAAATTGTGTTAAATCGTAATTGAAATATATGTACATTTTAGAAAATGTAGAAAATAGAGAAAAGCATAAAGAAAAAAACAGAAATCACCTATGAAGTTTGTTATTGTAATAGTTATACTTTCAGTCTTTTTCTATATGGATACAGATGCAATTTTGCATGTTATAAATATCTTTTTTTTTTTTCTGAAGATTTTGTTTATTTGTCAGAGAGAGAGAGAGTACACACAAGCAGGCAGAGAGGCAGGCAGAGAGAGAGGAGGAAGCAGGCTCCTTGCCGAGCAAGGAGCCCGATGCGGGACTCGATCCCAGGACCAAAGGATCATGACCTGAGCCAAAGGCAGCGGCCCAACCACGGAGCCACCCAGGCGTCCCATGTTATAAATATCTTTTAAAACATGGCTTTAGGTGGCTAAATAATATTCCAATCTGCAGAAACTTCTGTGATTGATTAATAACCCCCTATTGTTGAACATTTTGATTATTTCTTACTCTGTTTTCTGCAGTGCTATGAAGCAGACATGAGTTCCCTAAGTGCTATTTGGGAACAACCCTGGTTATTTCCTGAGAATTAACTCCTCGAAATTAAGTGCTGGACCAAAGATTAAGAGCTCACCCTTTTAGATTTTTATGTTTGTGTGTTACTCTATGTGAGTTACAATCTAATCTTTACTCTTCTCATGAATTTAGACTTAGAATAGAATTATATAACTTTCAAAACTGCAGGAAAAACTGGAAACCCTTATTCCAGTCCCTTCCTCTTCTTTTTCTTTCTTTTTTTGATCGAGAAACCCAAGAACTAGAGAAAAAAGTAACTAGCCCACGGTCACACAAATAATTTGTCTATTTTTAAACCTGCCAGTTCTTGGGACGCCTAGGTGGCTCAGTTGGTCAAGCATCAGACTCTCGGTTTCAGCTCAGGTCATGATCTCAGAGTTGTAGGATCCAGCCCCACATGGAGCTCACTTGCGAGCATATGTGCATGCGTGTTCTCCCTCTCTCAAATAAATAAATCAAATCTTTAAAACAAAACAAAAACAAAACCTGCTAGTTCTTGATTTAATCTTTAGGTCTTCCCCATTTTCCCCGTTCCCCTTCCTCTTATTTAGTGAGCTTTTCTTTTTTTGCATAGCTCAGAGTTGTCCTTTTCACTTTGCTGAACACTGAGCAGAAATTCCCTCTGAATAGCTCTGTTTGCTTAAGGAAAGAGTCACCTGTAGTTCTCAGGAAAGCTAAGGATAGTTTGTTTTCATTCCTGTCCAGTTGCTGACTTCTACTTTGTTCCACAGAGACTTGATAAAAATTTAGATATTTTTCCCCCCAGTGGTTCTTGTAAGTCCTGCTCTTTTTTTTTATTTGTAATGCTTTTTATTTTATTTTTTTTAATCATTTTTTTAAAATTTATTTTCAGCATAACAGTATTCATTGTTTTTGTACCACACCCAGTGCTCCATGCAGTCCGTGCCCTCTCTAATACCCACCACCTGGTTCCCCCAACCTCCCACCCCCCCCACCTCTTCAAACCCTTCAGATTGTTTTTCAGAGTCCATAGTCTCTCTCTTCTGAGTGGGAACTGCAAAGGGTAATTTGAGTTTGTGGCTTGCAGGGCTGCTTGGAGCTTCCTGATGCCCTGGCCTGGAGCTGCTGACCCCCAGTGGCAGATTTAACTCATTGCAGTGGTGGTTCTGTGGGAGAGGAGAGCCCGTGATTAGGCAGCAACTAGAACTCTGAAGGAAGGATATAAAAAGAGTAGACTGTCAGTAACTTTCCTTAAAAATAACATTTTTCTTTTTAAGAAAGAAAATATCAGTTAAAAAATTGTTAATCAAATAAGGAAAAACTAACCAATCAACTCAGCCCTAATTCTAAAGAGGTAGATTGTACTTTATTTTTAATATAATTAACTTAGGATAAAAATACAAAATACTGTCACTTGGCTGCAGGTTGAGAAGGTATGAAAAGGAATGTAGTGAAGTCTCTTCTCAAATTTATCTTCCCAGAGGCAGCCACCATTATCAGTTTGTTTGTGTATGTATCAGAAAGCTAGGCTAAAATATATGTTTTCTCATTCTTAGTGAACTTAAGGTCACTGTAATCCAAGTAAAGAAAATATATCCCAGAGAATATATCCTAGAGAAAATGAAGGTTTTCTTTATTGTTGGGAAGGGAAGGAGGAGCAAATAACATTAAGCATCAACATATGCTTTAAAAAAATAACCCATACTTCCATTTCCAAGGGATGGGACTTGAGGCTGAGGGGAAGAAGAGGGGAGTAAAGGCAGGCATACTGACAACAATCTTCCTTCTTCCTGCAGCTTCTCCTTCTTCTTTGCCCTTCCTCTACAAGCTGGCTCAGCTCTTCCATCGGATCCAAGAGGCCATGTTTTCTCTCTACCGGCTTCCTATCCACGATTGAGTGGCTTTTCCCATTCCACTCAACCTCTCTACTCCCCAGGTCTGCCATGACAGAAGCAGAGGCACTCATCCATGGTGGCCCTCCTGTTGCTGGCTCTGGCCCCACAGGGGTGGGGCCAGCCCTAATTCTAGAAAGAGTTGATCCAGTCTGGTGAACTATGTTTTGCCGCCCGAGTGTTCTCCCCTTTGCACCCTAGTTTGGCTGGTGTTGGTAGGTAATACGGGAACAAAGTAGGGCCAGGGAGCACGAGTCCTCTAGAATAATACTCCCTTGTACCCAAAGGCCCCTTCTAAAGGAGGGGTTTGGGAAAGGAGAGTATATCCATGAAATAGTCCATCTTCTTGGTAAAAGCAAAGGATTGGTGTTTTTAGGTCAGAGTGTTAATGAAGCTGGAAGTTCAGAAAACTCTGATGGAATGACCCCTGGCCTTTCACTTGTGTGGAAAACTTAACCTCTGAAAATTGCCTCACAGGTCAGGCCCTTAGTTAGGCAGAGTGAAGATCTGAGAGGGCCACTTATTTCTCTTCTCTGAGAGGAGCATAGAGAAGTTATTTATCAATATACCATTCCTGTGGTTTTGCAGTAGGCTTGAAGCTGTTTGGGTCCTCTCTTTTCAGACCAGGACGTGGCTTTCAGAACTACCCAGGTAACTGTTGAAAGCAAAGTAAGGCTGCTCTGCTCTTCTCACTGGGTAAAGTGATCTTGTTTGGTGCTTCTTGGGCTTCAGCTCAATTTTCCAGGTTGTCAGTGGCCAAGTCCTGCTCTATTACACACTCAGTATTCCTGTGTTCTCTTTCTTCCTTTTAGTTCCTTCTCCCTGCTCTGCAATGGTATTTTTGTACTTTGTCTGATGGCTGTCTAACCAGGTTCTGCCTACCTCCTTGGTATACACCGTTGCTGGTTCTCCTCCCCACCTTCTGTGTCCTGTTGTTCTAGTTATAGTCTATTCTTTGTATAATGTGCAAATTTTTCTGCTTGTGTGGCCTTGAAAAGTAGGTCAGCCTCAGAGGCTGATGAGCTGAAAATGGAACTGGGTAATCAGGTGAGTTGGAAGGGATGTATGGAGGGAGTTGGCCAGAGGGGAGATACGGGTTTTGAAGGCAAGGAGCAATTCATTGTTAGGAGGAGGAGGACACATTGGGGCCATAGCATTTGGGTATTTGAAATGTTTCAGTGTTTTCTGTCACCAGCCACAAGAATCTTACAAGTTTCTGTGCAAATAAATGTAAAACACTACTATGCTGTTGGAATTGTAAAAGGCTTCCAGCAGGGGCTAGCCTTTTTGAGGCTGAAGGCCAAACAAACTGCCCCCTGCTGGGTCTTCAGGCAGTGTTGATGCCAGGAATAGAGGAGATGCTTAGTAGTTTCCAAGAGGCTGGTTTTTAGGCGTTCAAGTAAACAGTTTGTCTTTAGTAAAGCGGGTGGGAAAAATAAAACTCACGGGCCTTTGGGAGGTGAGTCCCTAGGGCGTAGTCCACCTCTGTAGGAAATAAATCTGTGTTTTTACATATGGGCTTTTAAGTAGAGTTAAGAACCCTGAGAAGAGGAAAAGAGACAGGTAAGCCTTGAGATCTGTTGGAATGATTTCTCAAAATGAAAATCTGGTCCCTTTCTCTACCCTAGATAAAACTCTTTAATGACTTTGCATGCCTCACATGGCATTTCTTCTTAAATTCATCACGGAATTTAAGGCCCCTTAGGCACTGGTTTTAGCTAATCCCTCCACTTTTATGTGGGGCCTCTGTTGCTCATGCACGCTGCCCTCCAGAGGCCCAGCCAGTCATGGTTTTCTGAACATTTCATGCTCCTTCACACTGCTGTATCTTTAGCACCTGCTGTTCCCTCTGGAAGGCCCAGCTCCCACTTTTTGCCTGGTTAGCTCCTCAAATTTCCAGACTTACTCAAGGGTTACTTTTGGGAATCCTCTCCTGATGTCTGCTTCCACCTTTTTATGTTAGTGACCCCATAGCCTTATAATTGCAAAGTCCTTTGTTACCTCCAGTAACTGTGAGCTCTTTGATGCTGGGGAATGTGGCTTGTTGCAGTGTTTAAGAATCAGTTTGGATCCCTGCTCTACCACTCACGAGGTATGTGACTGTTGGAAAGTGACCTATCCTTTCTCAGCCTCAGTGTCCTCATCTGTTAGTTATTATTTCATAGGGACTTCTGGGCCTAGCCAAGCACCTAGGAAATATGAAGCTATTAGAGATGTTTAAATTAATGAACTGCTATAGCTGTCAGGACAAAAGGTCCATGTGCTTTTGGTATATTTTATATTGTGAAAAGTCTGAGTAAAAAGACCTGACTATACCCAACTCCTTTTTCTGTCTGTCCCCTGAAGTTCTTCCATATTCAGCTTCTAGGCCTCTAGGTTCTCTGTGTGATGTTCGTCTTGAACTCTGCAATATTGTCTGGCAACCAGCCCTAGCTACCTACCTAGTCAGTCAAGGAACTCAGAACCAGAACTGCTCTGATAACTTTGATATTTTCTAAGAATGGAGGCTGGTATTCATATCAGTCTTCACGTCTGACCTTAATGAGGTCAGAAATGAAGGGAGGGCTTCCTTGTTAGACTTAGACCTGTGCTGTCCAACATGGTAGCCATTAGTCACAGGTGGCTTTTGAGCACTTGAAATGTGGCTGGTACAAATTGAGATGTTCTGTGAATGTAAAATACTCACTGGATTTTGAAGATATAGGACTATAAAAATGGAAACTCAATAATTTTTATATTGATTGCATGTTGAAATGATAGTATTTTGGGTATGTTGGGTTAAATAAAATCTATTAAATTAATTTCAGCTGTTTCTACTTTTTTGTGGGGTTGCTAGAATGCTTAAAATTATATATATATATATGACTCACATATTTCTTTCAGGCAATGCTGTTGTTCAAGAATACATCAAGTATACAACAGTATACATCAAGTTCAGAGGTGATAGCAATCAGCATTGTACTGTGGGATTTTGTAGGATGTTAGATCTGGGAAGATCATCTCTTATATACCCCATCTCCTCTGCCCCCCTTTTTTTAAGTTAAGGAAATTGAGACCGAGAGAGGTGAAGTTATTTGCCCTGAGTCTCATAGCCTGAATAAGATAAAGGTCCCTGGACCCTCAAATCTGGTATTCCTTTCACTGTGCTATGATTCTGCTTCACTTGCCCTAAAATCAGTCACTCTCTAGCTTAAATTCACTGTTAATATGCAGATATGTCCAGGAGGGGTAACTTTAGGTGGAGTTAGTGGATTAGTTTTACTGGGTTCTGGGAAAATACAACATAGAACAGATATTTTAAAATTTAGGGATGCTAAGGAGAGTAGCAATGGGTGATGGCATTTTGTGGTCAGATAGGAGGCTAGGGAGGTTGGGGTGAGGTGGAGAGATGAAATTAAGCTATTGTGGGCAATCACAGGGGTGGAAGTGGATGGGACGGTCAAGGACATAGTTGTTCTGATTCTCGAAAGTGGCATTAAGGCTCTGCGGAGGTATGTTATAGTTTCAGGCAGGGGATCTGCACTCTTGCATGTATGTAGGCCATGTGGGCATGTAGATGATTTAAAAATCATACGGAAGTTTTATATATATGGTACAGAATTCAAAAGTTACCAAAGGAGGGGTGCCTGGGTGGCTCAGTGGGTTAAAACCTCTGCCTTTGGCTCGGGTCATGATCCCAGAGTCCATGCTCTCTGCTCGGCAGGGAGCCTGTTTCCTCCTCTCTCTCTCTGCCTGCCTCTCTGCCTACTTGTAATCTCTGCCTGTCAAATAAATAAATAAAATCTTAAAAAAAAGAAAAAAAGAAAATAAAAGTTACCAAAGGATATTCATGGAAAAGAATTCTCTCTCTTTTTTTTTTTTCCCCACTTTCAGTTTCCTGCCCAGAGTCCACCACAGTCATTTAATTAATCTTGGATGATTGTTCCTCATCAGCTTATGTAGAGCTGCCTCATTCTTACTAGGTATTCGGCATTCCATTGTGTGATAGGATCGCAGTGTAGAAAAAACCCCCACACTTTTCCTTTTTGGGATATTGAGACCTCTCCACCCTCTCCTAAGCCAAGAAACACAGTAACTCTAACTTTGAGATTAACAGGTATTGGTCCTACCTCTTTACGGTCACTTCCTAGCAAACATGGAGCAGTCTGTCCAGCCTGTCTGGTAATTACCACAGCCATGGTGGACAGATAAGACCAGGCCCTTGCTTACCCTGGACATTCAATTTTTCTGAATCTGGACTGGCACTCAAGCAGCCTCTGCCATCTGCTGGAAAGAGCCAGAGGAAATGGCAGAAAGAGAAAGGCTTGACATAAGTTGCAAAATAGGCACCTATTCATTACCTTGCCTTCTTTCACTTCTTGCATGGAGGTGTCCCAGGGCCAATGGAGTTCGATCTCTGGCATGCACAGGGGAGACCTGTTGTAATTCTGTTAATTTTACTCTCTGGCTGAGGCAACCTCCTTGCCATAGCACCCCTTTGGAATTTAATACGTGAAGTGTTCACTAGAAGAAAGTAGGGCCCTTTTGCTTCCTTTTGCTTCCAGAGGGCTCCCTCTGGAAACTTCAGTTTTATGGACTGGAAGGAAGTGAGGTTAAAGGCAATGTGCACAATTCCATAAGCAGCCTATGAAATCCCTCTCTCTGCCATTCCTCCATTGATAAAGTAGGGATCCAGATATTATTTGCTGGCCTCTAGGCCTCCAGGCCTCCTGGTAAAACAATGACTATTTTTCTTGTGTTAAAGAAATGCATATATATTTTGGAAAATATTAATAATTGCATAGAAGCAAATATGGGGCTCAGGATCCCACTACTCAGAGATAACCACTGTTAATGCTGATTGATTTTCTTTCAGTTCTTTTTTAAAAAATACTTTATTTATTTGTCAGAGAGAGAGAGAGCAAGGACAAGGAGGAGCAGGCAGAGGGAGAAGCAGGCTCCCTGCTGAGCCAGGAGCCCAATGCAGGATTCCATCCCAGGATCCTGAGACCATCTCTTGAGCCAAAGACAGGTGCTTAACCACCTGAGCCACCTAGGCGCCCTTCAGTTTTTTTTTTTTTTTTTTTTTAAGCATCTAACCTTCTTGGTAGCACAAGTACTTCAAAAGCTGTGAAAAAAATTTAAATTTTCAGACAGAATGGTTTGTCTGAAACTGGGATTAACTGGCTCAGCTGGGTACCTTCTACTAAAGAGAGTAGAAATGATCTAGGAAAGGTCAGGCTGAGGGAGAAGATGCCGCTCCCCAATTGTTGTGTGGTGGCTAAATAGCTTCAGGTATAATGGAACAGTGAATGTCCCCTAAGGCCTGCTTTCACCAACACAGCCAGATCCCAATAGGTAGGGTGGGATTTTATTATCTACTTCTAATTTTAATACTGACCCAAGCTCATATTTAACACAACTTCCAAGCTCCTATTTCTTTGAAACTTTTAACATCCCCTTGTCCCTATTATACTCTCTGAGGTAGGGACTAACACGAACAAGATTTGGAGATTTGGTTGAAAAACAAAAGGATTTTTGTAGAAGTATGTCAGTATAGAAAAAAATCACTGCATTTTATTTTTTAAAACAATTTATTGGTTTTTTAAAAAAGATTTTTATTTATTTGAGAGAGATAGAGAGAGCACCAGCTGGGGGAAGAGCAGAGGGAGAGGGAGAAGCAGACTCCTCAATGAGCAGGGAGCTGGATACGGGGCTTGATCCTAGGACCCTGGGATTATAACCTGAGTATTCCCAAAACTCATTTTTTGTTCTTTAACTATTTTATTTTATTTTTAAAGATTTTATTTATTTATTTGACAGAGAGAGATCACAAGTAGAGAAGCAGGCAGAGAGAGAGGGGGAAGCAGGCTCTTTGCTAAGCAGAGAGCCCGATATGGGACTCGATCCCAGGACCCTGAGATCATGACCTGACTTGAAGGCAGAGGCTTATCCCACTGAGCCACCCAGGCGCCTCTGTTCTTTAACTGTTTTAGAAGGCCATATCTTGTCTCTCTAACAAGCCTTTTGTATGAGACAGGGACCACATCTTCTAATAATAATAGCCAACATTCGCAAAATACTTCTATGTGCCAGGCACCATTCTAAGCACTTATGTTAGCTAATTCAACCTTCTAATAAGCCAATGAGGCAGGTATTATCTCTGTTTTAGATAGATAATAAACAGATACAGGGAGGTTAAGTAACTTGCCCAGTTGTCCCGTAGCTAATAAGTGGTAAAGCTGGGATCTGAACCTAGGCAGACTGACACCAGAGTTCATGTTCTTATATCCTCTATAACAAATAGAATGAGGCCATGCAGGTAATAGGCCATGTAATAAAGATTTTTTGAATAAACTTGGATTTGGTCTTGAGAATTAGAGGAAGGAAGAAATAGGAGCAGTAAAGAGGGTGAGGAGAAAGGCAAGCATCAGGGTTGAAGGGTGGAGGTGGAGTTAGAAAGAGAAGAAAGGACACAGGGCTTTGGCACCTGTTTTACAGTATCATTGCTTAGCTCACTGCAGAGGGAAAGAGGACGAGGTATTCCTTCTCAGGTGTACCAGTAATGACAAAGCCTGGCAGGTGTCCTTCAGTGCAGATATAAATACAAGCTTGTGGTTCTATCAGATGACTTAGATGGATAAGCCAGGCACTTGGTTACCAATAGACTGAGCTGGATCCCAAGGAATGGGCTACTTTCTCTGAAATAAAGCTACTCTGTGTCTTTGCTCCCTTTCAAAGTGTTGTCTGAGAGTTTTGCTCACCCTTCCTAATCCATTGTCAAGCTGGAATGTTGCTAAAATTGGCTTGTTACCCTAAAACAGTCACCCTACCCACTCCAGATCTCCCTGAGCATTTGGTCTTTTGACTGTGGATGGCGGCCTCCTCCCAGCAGGTACCTACTGCTCTGGAACATTCTGAAGATCCTACCCCCTTCCCTCTTAGTAATCATTACTGTTCTGTCCTGTTTGTGGATTTCATGATCTCCTAGGTGACAGCTGTCTCAGATGCACTAAGGACAATGGTTAAAAGGTATGCCCCATTACTCTTTCCAAGAAACACAGAAATTTTGCAAAGCTTTTTTTTTTTTTTTTTTTTTAAGAAATCAGGCTTAAACCCAAGGGGATGATTTTGCTGTATAAGCGAGAGGCAATGTGGGATGGTGTTTGAGAGTGTGGGCCCTGGGACCCTAATACCTTAGTTCATATCTTGGTTTCCCAACTTTCACCCTGGGTGAACTATCTTTCCTGTGCCTTACTTTCTTCATCTGCAAAATGAGGATAAAAATTGTGTTTACTTCATAGGTTTGTTGTGAAGATTAAATGGTGCCAACATGTAAAAAGTTCATGGCATATAGTGAGCAGGTGCTAGTTATTCTTACCATTGACATTAACTAAGTGTGAGATGTGGGAGGGGAGAGTCAGTAATGTTAGATCATCCATTTACTCATAGTTTTAGATCATTCGTTATCATCAGACTGTGAAACACATAGCCTTCCCCAATTCCTGGTTCTCAGCTCGGAACTGGGCTTTGCAGGAGACTGTAACTACTTAAGGAAGTGCCAAGCCTTTTTTATATATTTATTTAAGAACATATTTATTTTTCTGAATATGCAGCACAATTAAATACAATTTTTCAAAAAGTATGAAGAGGCCTAGTGTGAAGAACCTTCCATTCCTGTCTATTTTCCAGCAAGTTCCTTCCTCTCCCAACTACTGGCCACTGCTATTCGTTTTTTAATTTCTTCTTCTAGAGTTTCTTTGCACATACATTAAAAAAATGGATATAGATCCTATTTTTTCTT